CAGGTCAGATAATACATGTAAGCAGGTTTCTCCGGGGTCTGATGGCGTCTGAATCCAAGAAGGACTCGACAGCCAAACAGCTGGCTGGGTGGATACAGCTGTGATCGCATCCAGAGGGAGGCGATGGGAGGATGAGAGGAAGGAAGAGAGGGAGGGAGGGAGATGAGAGGAGCCGAGGGGACAGATGCTGAAAAAAAAAAAAACAGCGAGAGGGGGAATGCAACAATTGTGCTTATGTGTTTTTTAAGTATAACTTCCGCAGAATGAGAGACATATGAAGCAAGACACTTAACATGTCCACTGAAGAGATGAGAACATCAGATCTGTGTGAAATAAAGATTTTTCAAATTGATATAGAACTAAACACATCACATAATGCAAATACATATATAATATATATATTAGTAGGTACAGTAACTTCATCTGTGGTGTCACGTATTGTCATGTTTGGATCTGTTTATATAAACTCATTTTGCTCTACTCTGACTAACAGCCAGTTCATTCTTGATGTATCCTGTTACTTGTTACTGCTTCACAGCCCATGTCCCCACAGGGATCATTAAAGTTTCATCTTATCCATGATATCTTTAAACTCTACGTGTCTCCCACACTCACTCCATCCTCCTTCCACCATATGAAAATACCTCCCTCATCTCCCGTCATTAAACCTCCTCCCTTCCTCTCGACAGGCTTTTTTCTCCACTGTCCTTCTCTCACACCTCCTTCGTTAATCCTTCTCTTCATCCTTCCAGTCTCTAGGAGATGTGTGTTAGCACGATTTGGTTAATTAGCAACGACAACAGACCTCACACCCAAAACATAAACAAAGTAAAGTGACTCTATTCTCGCACCATCCGGCCTGAGTTCTCTCACTCACACCTACAACCACACACAAACACACACACACACTCAATCCGTTGACGAGCTTGGCTTGACTGGGTATAACAGCTTGTCGGGTGCAGGCCAGTGCCCTCAGCTTCAACATGACTTCATTCACACCCGCTGTGACCTGCTGAGAACCAGAGAACTGACCTACTAAAGCTCGAGCTTCCACGTCCAGGGATACACAATGAATTGAGGTTCAGCATTTCCTCTGTTTATGTCGCAGTGGAAAACATTCCAGAACATTATTATTTTTATTACTAAAGAATCTGACAGTTTGTTTCTCGGTTCAATTGTTAATCACTTTGTCTATAAAGTGTTGTAATTTCCCACAGCCTTATGAGATGTATTGAAATTACTAATTTTATTTATATTCAGTTTATGATCATATCAGATACAGACACCATCAGCTGTCTCAGGACATCAGAACAAAACCGGTAACAACATCGGATCAGACAGTGGATGGAAAGAATCCAAAGGATTTACTTACATTACAGGTATTTCTCGTTATTGAATTCTTTACACTACTGAATCATCCACAAAAATCCAGAATGGTTCAAGCTTTCACTATCGCTTCAAAGCTTCCACACACGTCACACCAGACGTTAGCCTGACTGACACGGTATTATTCCATCAGATGTCATTGTGAAAATGTGCAGTATCAGTGACTGCTTGAATTAAATCATCATCAATTATTTGAAAAGTTTCTGTAATTGATTGAATTTGACGGCACAACCCTGCAGTAAAGTAATATTCAGTGTTTCTGCTGTGTCATGAAAATGCTTTTAATTTGAAAAGACTAATGCAAAAGGTAGAGTCACGTGGCGACATCCGTAGGTGAGAGGGCGGGACAAAGAGAAAAGAGAAAGGTAGACTGAACGAGCTACCATAGATGCTTATCACACATTGATACCACCCAGGTGCCCAGACAGGCCATGGGGCTTACTTTGAGAAATCTGTGGACCACCACCTCACAGCCCCCTTTCCATCCGAAGCACAGGGATCCACTTTCTATAAATATCACAAACCTGAGCAGAGACAACAAACACCGTTAGCAAGAGTCTGATTGCCACCTGATGCCGAGCATTCAAACAACACTCACACAAATAACCCTATATCCCATCCTGCAACCGCACTCCCACAGGACACCTGAGGGATCACAGTAATAAATATATATTTCTATATCGACACAACAAATGAGGACAGCAAAATCCTGAGACCCCTTGATTTGGAAGATGGTTAAAAAAACCTGCCCACTGCTGTGAATCTGAGTTTCCACAATTGGTCCACAGTCTCCTCACCATTTAACGGCCGGCGGCTCTTTTAAGTAAAGATCAAAAGTCTAGCCAGGCGTTTAAAGCCTGTCCTCTTCCCTCCACCTCTTCATCCTCTATCCCCTTATCTCTGCCTTTGAGTCCGATCAGTAGAGACGACCGCCTGTCATTCTCTCTTGTCCTTCAGTCAGACTTGGCTGCTCCGCTCTGCCGGCCTCCAACTCACCTCGGCCAGACAGACGAGAGCACAGCATGGCAGCATCCTGGCACTAAGCGCACACACAGAGAGCAGACAGAGCTTTAATTCAGACCAACACTTCCTACTGTATGTGTGTGTGTCGAAGGCAGGAAGCCAGCACGGTAATAGGATGTTCCTTGCCTGCTTTGTAATGTCTCAAAAACCTGAGTTCGAGCCAAGACGCAGGGCAAAAGAGGAGGCGCCAACCTGTACTGAATATACAAATGCTATTTCAAGCTTTGTATCTGTATAATACTATTTGCAAAGGTGCCAGTCTGAGAACAGCCTATTAATGAATTAGTCCATTGATTTGCAGCCTGAGAGCTTGATGAATGGATGAACGGCAGGATGAGAAATGTTTCTACTCCACAAAAACTGTGCAAATAAGTAAATAATGTGTTTTTGTTCAGTAGAAAGATTTCACATCAGAATTAATTTCACTGAGCGATAGTGCAGCTTTTATTTTTGGTTGATTTTTCCCTTAAGTTTTATTTTTTGTGCAATATTTACAGCTTACCAATAACATCACATTTATAATGTCACATTTTTTCATATCTTAAGTATAATCTTCTGATTTAAAAAGTTTATCTGTTGATTTATTTCATATAGTTGTTTTTTTGCCATCGCACACACAGTTACATTTGTCTTTAAAGGGAAATGAAAAAGAGGCGCTACACCATCATCGCTTCATGTTGATTTGTGCTTGATGTGAACAGTCAGGCGTGTCGCATCTGAATTATTCGCAATTTCATGCCGTTTATTCGCATCCGTGTTGATGTGCAAAAGGCTTCAGCTTTTTTGTGGAAGCCTGATTATTCGAGACTGAGGGTAATAATTAACTGTGTATGTACTCCTAATGGAATTTGAGTAGATGCACACATCTATGATGTAACTAGTTACAACCTACAGTATATTCTCAGTTACTAATCCGGTGTTGGTGATTAACATGGAATTAGAAAACAATACATCCTGACTGACAACATATAGGCAGTCATGTGTTAAACACAACAGCCAGTCAACAGTTTTAAATCTTATCCACTGGACAATAATCTGTAATCTGACCTCACACAGCCAATCATGTGTAATCTGACATCAGTCAGTTCGTACATTAATCTCATCAGTGGACTCAGGGGATTATGACGGTCCTTCAGACAGCGTCTCCACTCAGCAGATCGTCGCCCGCTCTGCTTTACTGAAGCATTGACGCAAAGGAGAAGAGCTAATACTGTTTAACGAGCAACTTCACACTTTGAATTCAGTCAATTCTTTTTCCATGATCGGTGTCTCTCCTTTAATTTATCTTATTGGATCTCTGGTGGGGGATTCATTAGTTTTAAAAGTTTTACAAAATCCAGATGTTGAATTTAAATCCAGTTTTTTGGTTATTACTAAGCGTTAATAACTGACATTTCTCTCCATCTTTATTTTCTAGTGTCCCAAATTGTTGAATTAATTTAATTTTTTAATTAAGGTTGCGCTCCATTTAGATTGAGCCTTAATTAATTATACCTGTGTTCACCTACTAGCTTGTGTCAAAAATGGCTGCCATGAAAAAGGTGTGTTGACAACAAGAAGACTAAAATGTACAGTCAATTAATCAATTAGTTGATTGACAGGAAACAGATTGTATCCCCATATTTTATAGCCAGAAACAAAGAAAAAGTGAATGGGTAGCATGAGGGACTGGGAGGTGACAAACACACACACACACACACACACACACACACACACACACACACACACACAGGGGGGGGGGGATGCTGGCTGATTGCCTCTCTGGTTACAACAGCTCGTGATGGGCCAACACCCCAAATACACACAGACACAGGAGCTCAGCATCATGTGCATCATAAAGTCATATTCAAACACATGTTCACCAAGTTAACCTAAAGCTGCACAAAACAATTCCACACACACCATTATAATCTGAATCCAGAGAGGAGGTGGCTGAGGCACACATCACTGTTATTACCAGAGCAGCCTGTAAAGATATAAACCTTCATGTGTGAGGTTCACTGAGCTGATGGTTGACTCGTGTGTGTGTTATAAACACATGTGTCCTCTCTCATCACATGGAGGTCAAGACAAAAGACTGGCAACAAAGAGACACGTTATCCCAGAGCACTTAACGTGAAGCTGACGCTGGGTTTGTTTTTTTTTGTTTTTTTTAGGATGGAGGTCTCTGCCCCACCGGTCCTCCTCCACCCTGCTCCCCCGCCAGCTCCCCTCAGAAACAGGGTGTGACACGAAGAAAACACCGTCAAGATGCAAGTTCCCAACTTGCCAGTCACGCGACAGAACCTCCAGCAGCAGCGAGGACACGGTGGAAGTTGTACGTGCGAACCAGGCGGGGAACAGGGTGGAACAGGCCGCCGGGGTCTGCAGACCTCCCTGCCTATTGTTCCGCTGTCACCGCCGCTGAGGTGCACCACCACCACCACCACCACCACCACGGATTAGCTTTAGCCTCCTTAGCCTCGCCGGCTAGCATGAGCGTTAGCGGCTAGCAGGTAACACGGCACCTTCCTCCCGCTCCAGAAGTCTCCTCGTTGTCCGTGTCAAAGGCGAAACAAGTCAAAAACAGGCGGCAAAGAGTTTAAACGTACCCAGAGCTCCGTTCCCCAACTCATGTCGGATTATCCCTGATGAGTTATCCCCGTACTGGACGCAGTTTTCCCCCTCTTGGTGCCTCCAAAACTGCCGTTGGGATCGCGGTCCTCCTGCCTGACTGTCCTCCGACGAACACTCCTCCTTCTCCACCACCAGCAGGGCCGCGCGCACCCGGGGGCCCTGGGGCCCTGGGCCCCACAGCCCCACCCCACCACACAAAAAAAGATCACTCTTCATGCCAGTGTTTTAAAAAAGTCTTTCCTCTCCCGGATAAGATTTTATACTATTGTCCTGATTCAGCTCAATAAATTGAATTCGTTTTGATTTTAATCAGTTTTTTTTGGGGGGCAATTTGAAGTTTACCTCTTTATGTGTCATGTAAAAAAATCCTACCGATGAAAGCACCGCTGACGATGTCACACTACAATGACGTAAGATATTAGTTTGTTCAATGTTCGCACTATTTGACAGCGTGTGATACAAACCTTACAATCACAAAATAAATGAATGTGATAAATGAAAAATACAAGATCACTATCGAGGCTAGAGAATGTTTTAAAAAAAATAATACCTTAAAATTAAAGTTTGTAGAGCCTCCTGGAATAATGTCTTCATATCAGGGTGCTTTATTTCCTATGATATTATCATTATATGTCTTGTTGCAGATTATATGGGGCCATATACTCTCCTCTCAGAATTTCTTTTTACCATTTTAATAATTTATTTGTTAGTTTTGTCATTTAAGATTCACAAGGTTTGTCTTTTCAACTGATCCACATGCTTCTTGTTTTACATTTTTTAATTATTGGTGGAACAATAAACTGTTCCTTGAATAGGTGGAGCAGCTTCCTCTCCTGGTCAAGATGCGTCATTACAGCTGCAATCAGCAAGATAGATGGATGGAAGCTCAAATTAAACAAGGAGAAAAACAATGCGAATCAAAACGGTGCAAATGAGTACTGACACAAAATTGAGTACTTATATTCAAATCACAGTTTTTTTCCAGACTGTTGCTGGCCTCATCGACAAGGCCTGGGACATTATCACTGGACTGCACTGATGTCCCCACCTCAGCAAATTCCTTGTATGTCTAAACCTGCTCGCCAATAAAACCTGATTCTTTATAATTGCTTATGAACGAATCTCTACTGTGTGTGTGTGTGTGAGAGTCTGGGAAGAAGCTGTTTCTCAGCCTGGTTGTTCTGGTCCGGATGCTGCAGCCTTGTCATCCTCATGATAAATATATTATAACAAACCCAGTCATTTTGTTTAAATGTCTGTTTGGCAGCAGAACATCTCATATTCCATCAACTGAATCTGTGAGACGACCACTGTTGGGCACGCCTGTTGTTACACCCCCTCGCCTGTAGATGGCGGTAGAGCGTGTCCCCCTCCAGCCTCCCACCAGAGAGGAAGTGGACGTGCTGGTGTTGTGGTCGCGTGCTCGTGATTCTCAGACACCGGAGTTTAGAGTTTCACTGTCATTTTATATATTTTGGTCAGAAACAAACATGTACCGCTGCATGACGAGGTAAGAGCCGCTTCTCTCTCTTTGCGTCAGTGTTTTCACACAGTTGTCAGAGTTGCCTCTTGACCTTTGACACACTTTTCTCATCGTAAACACAGTGAGCTCCCTTCAGGTCCTGTCCTCACGACTTCTACTCTGCATACGAGTTATACTTATGTTCTAGTGTTGAGTCGAGTGTGAACCATTAGAACAAGTTAACAGGAAAACCTCTGCTGGTGTAGAAGCTAAAGATGCAGCGAGCTGAACTCCACCATAGCATTTAGCTTCCAAAGGTTTGAACTGCAGAAATACTAGCAGGATAGTTTTATCACAACATAGTGAATAAGGTCTGGAGGTCAAAAATTATATGATTTCAGTCGATATCAATAATTATCACGATAGAGGTCACATCATTATCTTTACATTTTCTGAAGGTTGTAGTTCTAACTCTTCTTCATGAGCAGAGAATGTCTCCACACTGTGCACGATGCAGAAGTAATATATCGATATATATATTGTGATGTTGTTATCGATGAAACTTACACATGATATGAAATAATATTAAACTAATTATGTGAAAGTGAAGATTATTGTGACCAGTGTTGGGCGATATGACCGTAAATTAAAAACATTTCATATGGCTCGATATAGATACGCACAAACAAAGGCTGGATTACGTGAACGAAAATCATCTTAATCATGCCTGTGAGGTGACAGGTGACCAGTGTGCCGCCTCCGTCATTAATCAGTGCATTGTACCGTTCACCAGTCATTAAAAAAACACTGTGAAACACAGAAGACTAAATGATTCTTATGTACGAGTGTGTGCTGTGGTTGTATCTGTAGCTATCTGATCAATCTGCAACAGACATAGTTTCTTCAACTCACATTTCAGATACTCCTCTGCAGCTGTCACTGTATTTTTAATCAAGATGTGTACAAGTGAACATACTTTTCATGTGTAAATCTTCAGGTTGACTGAGCAGCGTTGGAAGTGCTCAGTTCGTTGTATGAGCTCTGTAGCGAAGAGGAGGAAATCTCTGCACAGTGCCTTCCCAGTGCTGGATCTCCCCCTGCAGCCCATCCACCAACATGTATATGAAGCTAACCTCCGCAACAGCAGCGCCTGTTACAAGAAGTATGTTCCAACAGCTGGCTTCTCCCCACTGCATTAATTATTATTTGAAATCCAAAACATTTATCTTGGTTATTTCTTGTCAGGTTCATGGAGTTGAGTGAGAAGGTGAGGAAAGGTGGAGGGGAGAATGCCATTGCTAGGCACACAAAAAGAAACAAGAAGCTACTGGTCAGGGATCGTCTGCGCCTCCTGCTGGATGATGAAGATTTTCTAGAGCTGTCACCATTCGCGGGTCTGGGTCTGCCTTACGGGGACATCCCATCAGCCGGCTGTCTGACTGGTCAGGAACCACTAACTGCCATTTATTAGGGCTCGAGCAGCTTTGAAACTTTTGCTGAAAATTTGCATGAAAGTCACATTGAACTCCTTCATGCAAACGCATAACGCGATACCAAGCCATGTCAACCAACCTCCAGCAACGACACCGCAGCCGCAGCACACCCAGACGTGAGATGTGTTTATATGTTTCCAGGTATCGGCAGGATCTGTGGTCTGTGGTGTGTGTTCATTGCCAACGATGCCACAGTGAAAGGCGGCACAGCGTATCCAATCACAGTGAAGAAGCAACTAAGAGCGCAAGAGGTGGCCATTCAGAACCGCCTGCCTTGTGTTTACCTGGTCGACTCTGGAGGAGCTTTCCTGCCACTGCAGGTTAAACACACACACACACACACACACACACACACACACACACACACACACACACACACACACACACACACACNACACACACACACACACACACACACACACACACACACACACACACACACACACACACACACACACACACACCTCACCTTTAATAAGTGTGACTGCTAGTAAGTAAGACTAGAAGGTGACTGCTGTTTTAGTTCCTAATTCCCTGTTTGTGTAAACATCCAGTCAGAGATCTTTCCGGATAAGAACCAGGGAGGAAGAACTTTCTATAATGAAGCCATCATGTCTGCCATGAAGATCCCACAGGTGACAAATCTGCATTAAAGTTTGATAAAGCCCCAACTCTTACAATTTAAAAACCACCCTGTCAAATTAAAATGTCTACATGAAACCACACTAATGGTCCTAAAGGTGTCAGTGGTGTGTGGGTCATGCACAGCGGGTGGAGCTTACATCCCCACTATGGCAGAAGAGGCAGTGATGGTGCACCGGATAGGGACGATATTCCTGGGAGGACCTCCGCTTGTCAAGGCCGCCACAGGAGAGGAAGTGTCACCAGAAGATCTGGGAGGAGCCAAGCTTCATGCTGAGTAGGTCCTTAAATCAAACCAACCCTCACTGGAGGCGGATAAGTCTTGGTACTTGGTCTTTGGAGCTCATTGTTTATGAAAATAAAACTGATAACTTCATTCAGTTTTATAAGCAATAACCAGATGAGTTCATTAGAATACAGACGCATCATCAGGTCGATTTATCTTCTGGTTTCAGAGTGAGTGGCTGCGTGGATCATTTTGCCTGGGATGAAAAGGAGGCGTACGATCATACCAGAAATATAGTTTCCACCCTCAATTTCCAGCTGCCTGAGGAGAAGGAGGAGGAGGAGGATGAGGAGAAGATGAAGAAGAGGAAAGCAGAGGAGGAGCCACTGTACAGTTCAGAGGATCTTCTGGGTCTCGCTCCACTGAGTTATAACCACAGTCTGGATGTTAAAATGGTACAAAACTCACAAACACTAAACTGTCACCAACACACTGTCTCTGGAGTCATGGTTCTGTGTCGGTAACAGCTGCTTTCTGTCCCTCTGTGCAGGTCATCAGTCGGCTGACAGACGGGAGCTGCTTCCAGGAGTTTAAAGCTCGTTTTGGAACCACTCTGATAACTGGCTTTGCAAAGATACATGGGTGAAAGACACAAGACACAACGTGTGCACACACATTGATTGTTTTGTGATAATAATATATATCTATACTGTGTTGATTATCCTGAAAATAACTTTTTTAAACATCATATATTGTTTTTTATAAAGCAAACCTTTCAAACTAACATAGCAGCTATAGAAGCATGATTCCAGCTGTCCGTATGTACCACCGACTATGATGTGGTTTATATAAAGAGTCGGGAAATCAATGTATCTTGTCTTTTTTAATTTTATTTGTGTATTAGCCACCTGGTGGGAATAGTAGCCAACAACGGAGAGCTGTCGTACCAGGCTGCCCTGAAAGGAAGTCATTTTATTCAGATATGTGACCAGAGGGACGTCCCACTCCTCTTCCTCCAGAACACAGCGCCCACAGCAGCACTAACTCTCTCCACGACACAGGTACTCACTGCCAACTCATCAAGGGCTGTGCAAATACATGTCACAACACAGGGAAGCCAGCGGCTTCTTGAGGCATCACAGGGTATCAAATATATCAGGTACATATGCAAGAGGGTAAAAACAACTGCAAAGAACAGGGGCGCAGTGTATAAATGTGAGATAACTTTTTAAATAACAGTATTTGTTATATTTTCTGTGTCTTTTCCAGGCGGAGATGAACAGTAACCGTCTGAAGGCTCAGGGTTCGATGCTGTCAGCAGTAGCGTGCGCCTCCGTCCCCAAAATCACTGTGGTGATTGGTGGTTGCCACGGCGCTGACAGCTACGCCATGGTGAGAGTCTCAGTCACCACTGCTGTAGATACGTGGTGATAATAACAATCACTGTGATTCTGCAGCACCTTTCAAAACAGCCGGGACAAACTGCTGTATGTGGATAAATAAAAAACTAGAAAATAACAAACACAATAAGACAATATTATTTAAAATCACCAAATGTTAAAAAACGAGAAATCTGAATGAAAACAATTTGAATCTTGTTTCCTTCTCCAGTGTGGACGGGCCTTTGACCCTAATTTCCTGTTCCTGTGGCCCAACGCCAGAGTGTCGATGGTGGCTCCGGGTCATTCTGGCTCTCTGCTTCCCCCCGACAGTGAGCAGGAGGAAGAGCAGAGGAAGAAGCAGGAGGACGACTTGAATCGGCGATTGGAGGAAGAGAGTTCAGCTTTCTTCTCCTCTGGGCGGCTCTGGGACGATGGAGTCATTCTGCCTCAGGACACCAGGAAGGTAAAACACCACAGAGCACACACGTGGGAAATTTGACTACTTCAAAACCAGTCTGATTTCAATCCTTTCTTTGTTTTGTTGTTCCTCTGTTCGTGTGTTTGCAGGTTCTCAGAGACTGTCTGGACATCATTCGACAGCAGCGTTATCAGCTTTCTACAGAAAAAGTGCAGTCACCACTGCTACGCATGTAGAGGCGTCCGTCCACCTCGTCTACGGACACTTCAGACATGTGTCCATCACTTTGACTAATTTATTATTCTTCGTGTTTCCAGTGTGTAAACAGGATTCACACCGAGCTCTGTTCCGTTGTCAGTTTGCGTGGAACCTCGGGTGAACGAGGAGGAGTCAAAGCCACAGCTGGCACAGAGATGACTTCATTGCTAATTATCAAGAGTCATTTTGTTGGTGGCTAATGGATCAAACACACTTGAAGGTTTGAGGTTTTGAACGACGATGGATGTAAAGCTTGAAGTTGTGTCTGATTTTTGCGCACAACACTTTAGTTCTGTCAGTTTTTCAACTCCAGAGACTAATGACTACCTCGATGTCCCCTGAACTTACAGTCACAGAACTGTTGATGCATCATCAGGAATGAAAACTACAGTGATAACCATGTGGCCAAACAGCAGCTCACTTGTCTAATGTAGCCTTAACTCAGTCCGGGAGAGATTGTGTGTTTGTTTGTGTT